TATGGAAGAATCCAGCTTCCCTTAACGGCAGCCCCGTGGGCACCGAGATTTCCTGATAAACACACACACTGGTATAACATTTTTCAAAAGGTTTAAACATTAAAAAATAAAGTACCAGATTGGGAACAACAGGTCCAGGAAACTGATGGGCTGGCCAGAAACCTTCCCCCATCCCATTGCCCCTTCCTTTCCCTGGCATGGGTCAATCCCAGCTCAACTGGCACCTCTGTGACAGAGGATTGACAGGAGTGTGACAGTTCCAGCATAGGTGTCTGGAGACAGATCTGCGCACACCTGCCATGTGCTGGAGATTGAAGCAGCCTGGCCGAGCCGTGCCCAGCGGAGGCCCCCACCTCCCCAGCCAGCATCGCTGCATTTGCACGGAGCTTGTGCCAACACGCCCTTTGAGTTGCATGCAGAAGGCAGCAAAGGGATTCAAGGACACCAGCGGGTTGTCCCTGCTCTGTATGTGAAAAAGAGACTGCCACATGAATGACCTTCTCACTCTCAGTGGGCCACCCACAAATAAAGCACTTTGCCAACGGCTTCACCATCGGTGCTCACCAAGGGACCGCTCCTGCTCACTAGAGTCATGCAGTCGATGGGCAGCTCCATCCCACCCAGAGAGCAGCGTGAGAAGCAGCTTCCAGCTCACGCTTTTCCAAAGATTTCTAAGGGACAGTCACAAAATGCACGTTTAGAGCAAATCTTTAGAACAAAACACCATACGTTTGAAGGTGTTTGGGCTGAGGTTTTATTGCTCAGCCAGCCCTTGTTAGAGCCAATAACATAAAAACTATTTTCACTGTAAAAATCAAGCCTCCACATGAGGATTCTCTCCTAACCTGAGTCCTCAGCACACTCAAAAGCCTGTACATCAATGAGGCCCTGCTTTGCACACCAGCTACCCTGCCTTGAGGACAGCCACCAAGTGCTCACCAAGCTTTCCAGGTGCCACCAGAGTCACCCAGCACAGCTCAAGAAAAACTGGGTTCACACTGCAGGAAGACAAGATCTTAGACCCAAGATGCATCTGAAAGCACCTGGATAGCAGAGTGTAAAAGGTTGAAAGCAAGGAAGAAACAATTCGAGCATCCAGAGAAGGACTTAGAAAAGGAAACAGTTCTCGTTTAGTAACAGCGATGCAGGATGGATGAGCTGGGGCCGGCTGGTGCACCGGGTGCTGCCGCCTCCCAGGAGTCCCATGCTGGGAAGCATCACCTAACTGCAGTGGTTGCCTGAACTCAAACCAGTGAAGCAAGCAATGGGCCTGGCAGGCATCTCCCACCTGGCCATGTCCAGGAGGAGACGCTCCGGGAAGGTGGGTGCTCCTCACTTCCGCTGGCATAAATCCGAAACAATTTCCCGCAGTCCACAGAGCTAAAGCAAGGAACTGGGAGGAAGAGTAATCCCATTGTGTGCAAGGAACCAGCGCAATATTCGGCTGCTGACAAAACAATCCAGAGTTCAGCTTCGGCATTTCTCAGCGCCAGCCCCTTCCTCAGATGTGTTTTTTTCTAGGTGTCTGGTTATCTCACTCTGCCTTCACCCTCCCGGAGTATCACTGGGGAAAGGTGACCAGCTGACCCCCAAACAACCTGGATAACATTTTGTTACCGCCAATCTGAAGTATCCCAGATGCTGTGGTGTGCGATACCACCGCACAGATCTGCCTGCTAATACGCTGTCCAACCCAAATAAACTTTGGCTTCACTTTGCAATTGATCTCCGAATCGGAGCGCTGCGTTTCCCTGGGCAGCCGACCCTCCCGCAGGAATTTAACCCTCCCTGGCCCGACGGCTCTCCCCTGCCACAATGGTTTTGGCTCAGGCAACGTTAGAGGCATTTGCGCTC